AGAAGGTTTCCATCCGGAGCCACTTTCGCAAAGTCAATATTGAACGTGGAGAAGATGTCCGATAAAGTTTCACCGTGCAACGCGGGGAGCACGAGCCAAACTTGCATCGAAAGGAGGGGGGTACGTAAAACGCGGAATTTCTTGCCCCCCTCGCTTCGTATAAAATTTTTATATCGTTGATTCGTTTCTATCGCTCGATATTTTCAAAGCAATTATTCAATTTCTGTTTTTTATTTTTTCTTTCTTTCTAGAGAGAGAGAGAGAGAGAGAGAGAGAGAAGATGCATACTGTCTTAATCGTGAGCATTAAAATAAAAAAATAAATTTATGTATTAACGAAATACGCAAGTAAATTTTTTCCCCTGTTCGATTTTTGATGAAAAAGGCGCACGTCGTTCGTTGCGAATTTTTCTAAGAAACCAACTCAACGATACTTTTGCGGAGAAAAATTTTCGTTTCTTTCGAGATCCTATTTTTCACGCTGGTACTCGAGATTTTATTAGCAAACGAAAGAAATCGATCGATGTATAACAACATTGATTCTTCGATCCGACAAATGGAATTATTTATCGCTTTTTTTTTTTCAAGTCGATCGATCGGTGAATAGAAGCGGGCTTACCTCGATTCATTATTTACGTAACTCGACTTGATCCACTCCGTCGACGTTGATACGCGATTGCACAATAACCGAGAGCAATTAAAGCCTTGTTGTCGTGCGGTGAATGGAAGTTCCGAGTGGCGAAAGGGGTGGCTAGCTGGCCAAGTGGCAGTCACGAGTTACCCTTTCATTTTTTTTCCATCGCGACGTAGGCATAATGAACCGAACCAAATTTCTTTCATTTTCTCTCCCTTGCGAATAAATAGTTCTCCTCCAACGACTCGATGATCGAAACGGTACCCTCTTTTCCATCCTTCCTCTCGTTCCATCTTTCCTCTCCACATCATACATCGCCGCTTGCGAATTGTAAATCTTGCCATTTTATTTTTCGAACAGCGATGAAACAGAACGAGCAAGTTCAAGAATCGGTACGAAGTTATATGTACAAATCGAACGAAGCTAAGATCTCTCTGATCCCGGATTAGGAGTAGTTAGCGGTAAGTAAAGTAGGAGGAATAGCGAGAGTGGACGTGACTCGAGCCCACTTGGAGCGGATTGAAGCTCCACAACACCCACAAAACCACTTGGAAAGAAAGTATCATTGGAGGAAGAAGTTTGAGCTCGAACTTGTCCTTCGATTATTAATGGTCACGTGCGAAAAGCGATCTCATACAAAGATAATCGAGAAAATGAAGATAACGATGGATGCGATTATTCGAGGAATAAACGAATTTGAAGGGAGATAACGCATTACGTACGATACGTTTCGAGTGCAATTTAAATATCATCAAAGCGGAACGCTGAACAACCGACCTTAAAGGGTCATCCCGAGAATGTAATTGCGATTCACCCCTGCGCTGTCGATACGAGTATCGAGTTCCCCCGTGACACGGCTACGTCCAGTCCCTCGTGTCAGAAATCTCGGACCATTTCTGAAATTTTCATATCCCATCCGTCCGCCTAGATTGACGGGGATACGTTCTGTTGTTTTTCCGAGATTTCCCCTCCCCCAATCTCGTTCCCTGTCCGATCTCATCGTTTCTACCCGCGTGTCGCTCGAAATGGCCAACACTTTTAATACCATTTACCACTAACTTGTAAATATATTACGATTAATTGGATAATATCGATAGAGGGAATCGCAAAGTAAATAAAAGTCGTCCATTTTCTCACGACGAAACGCGCAGAGTCGAAGAGATTCGCGAATAATTGGATTAATTGGATAATATCGATCGAAGGAACTGCAAAGTAAATAAAAGTGGTCCAATTTTTCCATTTTCTGTCAACGCGTAGAGTTGGAGACAGTGCATGCGATTATTCGAGGAATAAACGAATTTGAAGGGAGATAACGCATTACGTACGATACGTTTCGAGTGCAATTTAAATATCATCAAAGCGGAACGCTGAACAACCGACCTTAAAGGGTCATCCCGAGAATGTAATTGCGATTCACCCCTGCGCTGTCGATACGAGTATCGAGTTCCCCCGTGACACGGCTACGTCCAGTCCCTCGTGTCAGAAATCTCGGACCATTTCTGAAATTTTCATATCCCATCCGTCCGCCTAGATTGACGGGGATACGTTCTGTTGTTTTTCCGAGATTTCCCCTCCCCCAATCTCGTTCCCTGTCCGATCTCATCGTTTCTACCCGCGTGTCGCTCGAAATGGCCAACACTTTTAATACCATTTACCACTAACTTGTAAATATATTACGATTAATTGGATAATATCGATAGAGGGAATCGCAAAGTAAATAAAAGTCGTCCATTTTCTCACGACGAAACGCGCATAGTCGAAGAGATTCGCGAATAATTGGATTAATTGGATAATATCGATCGAAGGAACTGCAAAGTAAATAAAAGTGGTCCAATTTTTCCATTTTCTGTCAACGCGTAGAGTTGGAGACAGTGCATGTTCGCGAATATTTGGATTAATTGGATAATATCGATCGAAGGAATCGCAAAATAAATAAAAGTCGTCCAATTTTTCAATTTTCTCACGACGAAACGCGCAGAGTCGAAGAGATTCGCGAATAATTGGATTAATTGGATAATATCTATCGAAGGAATCGCAAAATAAATAAAAGTCGTCCAATTTTTCAATTTTCTCACGACGAAACGCGCAGAGTCGAAGAGATTCGCGAATATTTGGATTAATTGGATAATATCGATCGAAGGAATCGCAAAGTAAATAAAAGTCGTCCAATTTCTCAATTTTCTGTGAACGCGTAGAGTTGGAGACGGTGCACGTTCGATACGCGAATATTTGGATTAATTGGATAATATCGATCGAAGGAATTACGAAATAAAAATTGCCAAATTTTTGACGATGCACGCTCGATACAAATATTTGGATTACATCGGATAACATCGATGGCAAAAACAATCGAAGAAATTGCGAAATAAAAGTAGTGAAATTTTTGACGATCCGCGCTCGATACAAATATTTGAATCAATCGAATAATATCGTAAAAATAATCGAAGGAATTACAATTGTGAAATAAAAATTTTTGATGATACGAATATTTGGATTAATTGGATAACAATTAATCGCAAAAACAATCGAAGGAAATTGCGCAATTGCGAAATAAGAGTCGTCAAAATTTTCCATTTCCTCTCGACGCAGAAAGGAAGAGATGACGACCGATTCGCGAATATTTCTACGGACGTATATTCGGCGTGAGTCATGCGAGCAACGAAGCATGGAACCCCATAGGACGTCGGCTGTCGAACCTCTCCTCTCGCAAAGCCGATGGAAATCGATAGATTCCCCAAAGCGAGGGAAACCCTTCGTCGATATTTCTCGCTGAAAATCCGATGAAACCCGTAGAAATGATCCACGCCTCGTTCGATGAACTTTCTACGAAATCCAATTCGTTAATAACGAATCGATCCCCCTCCCTCCTACACGCGAATAAACAAACTTGGAGAATCGAGAAAAAACGAAATCATCCTCGACAACCTAATTTATTCTTATTATTCCAGATCCATCATGACGGAAGAAGAAGAAGAAGAAGAAGAAGAAGAAGAAGAAGAAGAAGAAGAAGAAGAAGAAAAAAGGAGCAGAGATAGAATGACAAAGGATCGGGAAAACGCGCGACTGCGTATAAATAACACCGACACCCTTCTATTGTCATTCAGAGGGGAGGATGTGACGGCGGGGTTTATCTTAAATGAGGATCGCGCGGCTTAGAATGCAAAAAGAAAGAAAAAAAAGTGAAGCCAACAAAGTTGAATCGCGATCTTGGTCAGGGACGACGCGGGGCGAGCCACGAAAAAATCGTTGCTGCATTTTTCATGGGGGCGGAGAAAAGCCCGCGAGTGAGAAGAAAACGAGGTACAACTCGGCCACGGTCGAGGCAGGATGAAGGGAGGGAGGGGAGGAGGAAAGGAAACCGGCTGCTTATTCTCTCGCCTTCGAGATAGATGAAAATAAGCTGACACCGTTTTCTTTTCTCCTACTTTTTATTCAATGGATAGATGGTTTTTCAAGTAAAAATTTCAAACGTGTCAGGGTCGTCATAGGCTTTTTTCCTCCCTATCCTTTTTTCTTCTTTCTTCTCACCCCTTTGAATTCACCTCTATGATTTCAGGCTAAGCAAACTTGCTCCCTTTTGTACAGTTGATCCTTGAGCTACGCGAATCCTTGAGCTTTTTTTTCCTTTCTCCCCTCTCCGTTAAGAAGAAACGTTGAAAACGCGAAAAGATTAGGCGAGACTGACTGCGTTATTTATACGAAAGCTGGTTTTATCAATCTCGTCTTAATTATTAATCTTCGTCGATACAGGTTGGTTCGCAGGCATTGTAAAATCTAACGAAATCCATTGTATCGATTGTTAAAATACGGCTGGCCGGATATGGGAATGGGTCTCGAGGTACAAGGGTTCGACGTTAACAACGGGACTGGTTGGAGACGAAAGCGAACTTGTTTCGTGCAAGTTGGACCGTGCAACCACCGAAGGGGATGGTGGCAGCAAACTATAATGGAATAATTCGTCGGAGGTTTACGATCGGAATCGATACTTTTTCGACTCTTCGAAATATACGAATTTCGCGATTAGGATGCAGGCAGAAACGAAGGAAGGATGGCTTTTTCTTAAGAATTTTCATCACACAGAGGGTAAAATCTTTTTGGCTAGAAAAAATTTTCTACGACGAAATTCGATCAGCTCTTTACCACGTTTGAATTTGTACTCGATGAATTGAAACTCGTTTAGATGATTATTTATCGGATACGCTGTAATTGGATACGCTTCTTAATTCGGGTTACATAAAATCGGGAAACTTGTCATCAAGTTTGAAAAACATCTCCCTCGATCCGGCGAATATCAAATTATCGAATTATCGTTGCGTTGTACGAACGAAAATAATTATTATTTACGACTTGTGAAACACGAAATTGGAAAGATTTATAAGGGAAATACCGGAGGTGGACGGAGTCCTCAGTTGCTCAAAGTCGTTCAAAGATCACGTTTCGTATTGTTTGTGCGGTTTGTTCAAAGAGTTCGTTCAAATATGCACGTGAAATCGATATTTTTATTGATAACGATATTGACGTTTGTGGCGTTAAAACCAGTGAAAAGTGTAAGTCCATTTGTTTTCTTTCGAGAAATCGCGTTCAATTTTGCTTCGATACATGTAAAAATATTTATTATTCGGCGATTCTCTCCTTCAAACTCCTTTTATTTTTCTTTCGCATCGTTCGTGTAAGATTTAAAAAAAAAAAAAAAAAAGAAGAGAAGCAAAAATTCAGTTTTTCGATTAACTTCAGATGAGTGCCGATCAGGTAGAAAAATTAGCTAAGAATATGCGAAAATCGTGCTTGCAAAAAATCGCCATAACGGAAGGTGAGTAAAAAAAATAATATACCGATTTCGAAAATCGACGATTTCACGCTGCTCGACGTACTTCGTTTCTGTTTGTTTCGGGCGCAGAGTTAGTCGATGGGATGCGAAGAGGCGAATTTCCCGATGATCACGATCTTCAATGCTACACCACATGCATCATGAAGTTATTAAGAAGTGTAAGTAGTAAAAAAAAAAAAAAAAAAAAAGAACTGAAAAAATATTTTCAATTCGTCCGTAAGATGGATCGATTCTCGACACACTTTTTTTCCCCCCAGTTTAAAAATGGGAACATCGACTTCGATATGATCATAAAACAACTAGAAATCACGATGCCACCGGAAGAGGTAGCTATAGGGAAAGAAATCGTGGAAGCATGCCGTAACGAAGGTAAGAATAACAAATAAATAGCGTTCAAATTCGAAATTTTTTATCGACCATACTTTAAGAAGCTAAGTAAACTTCTCTCGATCGAGTTTCTAAATTTTTTACAATTTTACTGGCAGAATATACCGGCGACGATTGCCAGAAAACGTATCAATACGTGCAATGCCACTACAAACAGAACCCGGAAAAGTTTTTCTTCCCGTGAATAATGCCACGATCGAGGAAAAGAATCGATCGTACCAGAAATATTAGCGAAATATCGCATTCAATATTTGCAATATCGATTAGTCTTAAACTTATTTATAACGTGGAACTTGGAAATTAGTTTCAGATATTATTCGTATAATTTGATTTTGTATATTTATCACTATTACATACATTGCATATTGTATTTTATCAATTGGCAAGCGTTGATAATAAATAAAAACGTTGAAAATGAAAATACGTATGAAAATCTACGATGATAATTAACATTTCCTTCCTTCCTTCCTTCCTTCCTTACGTAAAAATTTTAATACAAGATATTTGTTCACGCGACAACGTGCAAATAATCCACAATCAAAGATAATCATGCACTTTCCATCCCTTCCCTTCGTTATTTACACACCTGTTCGGACAAAATAATTGCGAGAAAAGAGAAGAAGATGGGGGATAGGAATGGAAGATCGGCGGATACAATCAAAAGTGACGTAATGCGTTGTATCGGCGATGTAATCCGAATTACACGGCGGTGTTACTCCTCCCTTTCCGGCACAGCTTCAACCTCTCGAGATCGTGGACGGAAAATGGAGGTAACACGTTAATTATTAACCGAGTAATTGTTCGGCTCGAGACTCGAGCAACACCCACAAAATACGAATAATTCTTCCTTCTCCTACCGTCACGAAAACGGACTATAAAACAGGGTGCGCAACAATCGTGCCACGCTCTATCTATCGGGGGGAACAATCGCTGCTCGATTTCGTCGCGTTTTTATCGCCAAGTTAGACACGTTCAAAAGAAAGAAAGAAACGGAATGAAGCTCAGCGTCTCCCTGCTGGTTACGTTGGTGCTCCTGATCCTATTAGCGATCGAGGATACCGTGAGCGTAAGTCGATCCATCGATTCTTCGTATATAATTGGCCTTCGAGCGTACGTGCATCCTGCACTTTTGACTTTTTTCCCTTTTCTCTTTTACAGAAAAAGATGACCATCGAGGAAGTGAAGAAAACTTTCAAGAATCTGAGGAAAAGTTGCAGCAAGAAGAACGATACCCCCAAAGGTACTTTTCTCGATCGATGTTTCAAGGGATTAGAATCGTTCGATCGTTATGCAATTATTCGGTGTTTCGCATTCGCTTCTATGAAATTTCTTCTTTCGAGTAGTTGAATAGATAGAAAAATGTTGCAAATTTATGATTCGTGCGAAATCGATGGGCTACGCTTTCGCGATAAAATTGTTCACTTTGTTCAACGATCCGACGAATTTTTCTTCCTCGAAAATTTCATTTACTTTTTTTTCGCATAGAGCTTTTAGACGGCCAATTCAGAGGCGAATTCCCAAAGGACGAGAGGCTAATGTGCTACATAAAATGCATCATGATATCAACTAAAATGGTAAACGAATATTTTCAAATATCTTTTCTTCTCTCACACTCGAAAGGGTTGATGAAAACGAAAAGGAGTTTGTTCCTAGATGAAAGACGACGTTATTCTGTGGGACTTTTTCCTGAAGAATGTTCGTATGATGTTACTAGATGAACACGTTCCACGCGTGGAGAGCGTACTTGAAACGTGCAAGAAGGAAGGCAAGTATATTTACGTATTCGTAATTCGTTGTGCCAATCGATAGAATAAAAATTAATTATTCTTGTCTATCGCGATTACATCGATTGATGATTTTTATCGATTTTTAGTGACAGCTACGGATGGATGCGAGATTGCATGGCAATTTGGCAAGTGCATCTACGAAAATGACAAGGAGGTGATTTTTTAAATACTTTGGGTGCTTAATAATTTCGTAGTGGACGTCTTATTTATAGTTAGATCAATAGTTATCGTGTTATCATTTTGCTCGTCTCGAAATTATTCAACCTTTGTTAAAAATAATTTTTTCTTAATCCATTTAATCAGAATCGACGATTAATAATTTCAAGTATTCGTTGCAGCTCTATATGGCACCGTGAACGAGCTTTCAATAGCGAAATCATCCAAGAAGCAAAAGAAATTTCTACACAAGGATGGTGTGCAGAAATATTCGAGTCTAGAAGAAATATTACGGACGATATTTTAACATTCGAATGATTTTTTCGAAACTTTATCTTGAAATTTCGATGTAAAATTATTTAAAATTAATTATAAATATTGCATGGTACAAATCTATCGTAACATTTCCTTCCTTCGATATTTTTACTACCGTGTAATCTTCCCTAATTATTTCCCACGTTATTATGTACTCGTTTATTATTATGTATACGCCAAAATCGACGAAGAATATTACTTTTGCCCGCTAATTCGAAAACCCGTCCAAATAAAGAATTGCTTCTTATCGTTCGAAGCAAAGCCTGGTTCAACCATTAATTACAATCGCGGGAAACGCGGTAAAATAAAAAAATTGATTGGAAAAACTGGAAAATTCTACCACCGATCGTTCCACCTGCTCCCGATCTCGATCTGATGAAATCACCGAGCCACCGCGTTCCCAGGCTTCGATCCACCTTCTCTCTCTCGATCCTCCAAGTTGGAACGAGTGAGGACGATCGAGAGATTCTGCAGGTTGGAGACAAGGGTGGTCGGGGAGTGATAACGCGTGCAAACTCTCGAGGATCCCTGCCGCGATCGTTAAACTGCGAACAACTGCGGCCAACCTCGCGTTGTTCGAGCCCCCTCCGCGGGGAAGAAGAGCAAACGCGCACGATAGCTCGAATTAAAATGGTCCGGTGAAACTCATTCCCCGAATTAAACGGATCAGATCCAATCAGCACCGTGGTCGACACGTTTCGTTCGATTCCTTTGTTTAATTAAAATCCATCGAGCGCGATAAGAAGAAGATGCGCTATCGTGAACGTATGCACAACATTTGAATACACGTTTGAGAATTGGCTTGGTTGATTAATGGAGGAATCGATGGTTGGATAGAAATTTCGTTCTCGAGGCCATCGCTGTCCGGCAAAAAGCGAGCAAACTAGAACAAGTAGAGTGATTCAGATCACCGCTCGAGATAGCCGGCGATGCGTGTCTTGCGATACGTCCGTTATGCTTGCGTAACGCACTTGTACGCATGGACGTGTGGTTCATATTTTATATGTACTCCACCATACGTTACGAGGCGAAGAATTTGGAGAAGCCCCGTACAGGATCGGCGTCCCAGAGGAATCGGCTCGATTACAGGGGACGCAAGCATTGTTCCGTTTACATTGTTGTACGTAGTCGATTAATCAGCCATCCATCAGGTTGAAAATCAATCGTGTCCCGAGGGTTGTCACGTATTATCCCTATTATCTCCCTCCTGATTAGTTTCTCCATGTATCCAAGGAATCGGGATTTTTTAACATAACAATTTCATCGATCCTCTCGAATTTACCGTTTTCGTTTCCTTCTCCGCCCAAATTAAATAAGCGCACAAATTAAATAACCGGGTTCCAGCGATACAACGCGCGTTGTAACAAACGTACGCGTCCGGTTGTGTATCTCTCGCAGCCGCAAAAGTCGAACGTTCGGTGGCGCTGCAAGAATTCGTTTAATAGGGGCGGACCGGAAGCGGATCATTTACACGGTGTCTCGATCGAAAGGGGTCTACTAGCGCCCTCGATCGTTTCGTTTCGTTTTTAAAATGGAACGAAGGAAAAGAACCAATTCGTTATTACGTGAATAAGTACGTGAATGGAATTGTTTTCGATTCGAGCGAGGATCGGCGATGTCGATCGCGTTCGAGGTGTAATTTTTAACCGGACTCGAGTTTCGAAACTGCGGGTACACGCGGTGTGCAGCGACAGCTGCGCCCGATCGGGAGAATGCTACGCGTTTCTCGTGGCCACCATTTATTTACCAGCCTCTGTGTGTACCCAGGAACGAACGCACGACAACGAGGATGATAAGACGGCGAGAGAGAGAAGGAGAGGTATAGCCGCGCGTGCACCTTCGTGTCTTCGTGGCCGGGAAAAGGAAGGGAAAAAAGGTTTCGACGAAGACGCGTGAATCTAAGAGGTAGAACGCGCGTGACGCGAATGTGGATTGTCGAGGGAGCGATCGATGCTGCTTATGGAACGTTTAATCTCGTTTAAACCAAATATCATACGATTTCAAAGAGAGAAGGAAAGTTTTCAACGCGCGAGAGATATATAACAGATCGATTATAACGATCTGATTGAACGTTTTTCTATTCTATCTTATTTCACCGTGTTATTCTTCGATTCGCGTAGCGATCGAATGCAATTACATTGACTCGGTATATCAGATTTAGAAGTGAAAAAACACAGCTCGTATACACTTCATCCCCATTTCTCTTGATTTCAATTTCGATCGTGATGCAACACGAAGGCTGATCAATTTTTTAATTGATCATTTTCAAACTCTTTTGTTAGAAAAGGGAAAAAAAAACGATGCGAACGAGTTAATCATTCGCAAGTGGACTTTCAACGTGGGATGCGACAAGAAGCTATCGGGCTGGATTCAAACGTTGCTCCCGTTTTAATCGAATCGATTGCGTAGATTTCCGAGGAAATTGCTATTTCGAGCACACGCTCCATCAAATTAATTAATCGTCCGAGAGTTTGCGTTATTTCGTTCGTGTCGAGAAAAAAGAATCAATCGAGGATCCACCACTTAATTGAAACAGGGGGAAGAAAAATTGTCGATTTTTCATTTGCTCGTAGATGTTGACCAGCGAAACACGCATAGATAGTGAAACGTGCGAATTCTAATAGAATCTCGGAGTTAAAAACCAATTCGAATTCGATCCCATTATCAGGAATCAATTGTTGATTCCTCGACAAATGCGATAGACGTATCGAATACACGCAGATGGATAAAAAGGAATTCTAAGAGAATGGAAAATCAGTCGAATCGTTCGGTCCTCTTACCAGGGAACGTTGATTCCTCCTTTCTTCGCAAGAAGATAACGCAGAAGAGACACTTCCGTTTTCTGACAGACGATACAGTCCACGATACAGAATTTCCTCTCTAAAATCCGGTAAACACTATCTATCTGCCAGCAACGTCCAGTCTCGTTTCGACGAGTCGCACAACCACGCTAATTTCACGACGCGAATGACGCGGCTTTTAATTGCATTTCACGCGACACGCTCGACGCGATGCGAGAAAAAAGTTGGGTATAAAAACAGAGGGGAAAAAAAACTGGATCGAACGAATTGGTTTTTTGCCACGATTCGATCGAGACCCCGCATTTCCAAACATCCTTTCTTTCGATCGATCAGATATTTATATATATACTTTTTCCTTCGAATTTCAAACGTGTACGAATTTGAAGAAAGTTTTTTTGAAGGATTTCTTTTTTTTTTTTTTTCCTTTTCAATAATCTCTCGCGTTTTCTTCTCAAATATCGATCACGATGTTCTTTTTTTCTTCTTCCTTTTATCTCGTAAAAATGGAAGAATGCAGGATGATTTCGGAACAAAGTGGCAAAAGTTTCTTACGATTACGGAGCAGGTGAGTGTACTGAACTTTAACGCGAATGTGCAGCGTTAGTAGACTCGGGAGCGTGTACTACTCGTGTGGCTGGGAATCGATACGAACCGACCCATCGTTCAATTTCCATAGCAACATCTGAGCCCAAACAAAAATGATTTCGTCCCTAATTTAAACGAGACGGAATCGAAACGGGCGAGAAACGATTTCTTGGCAAATCTTCTCGATCCATCGACGGCCATCGCTTTTAACTCGCGTTCTCTCTATTCTTTGCTTACGAATTTCCATCCCCAACATTCGTTTCTATTTCCGTTCTATTTCATCGCGAGCGAAGAAGAAAAAGAGGGAGAGGAATTGCTCGCCAGAATGCAATTTCTCCGGGTCTTTTCAGCGAAAAAATTCGCTCGAGGGTTGACCACCACCCGCGGCTAAAGGTTTCGCCTTTAAGCCGTCGACTTAAAGGGGCGCTCCTTCCCATTCCAAAGGTAGAAAAATATAATCTTACGACGGCGCACGCCTCCACCATCCAACGATGCCCTTCCAAATAATTTAGCATCGTTTTAACCCGATCGAACCAACGATTTATCGGTTTCTCTCCTCTCCCTCCAACCTTTTTTCCACCTCGACGGACCTCGCTCGTACAACTTTAACGTTCCCCTTCTCCCTCTCGCGCTTTCATAACCGAGTAAAGAAGAAGAAGAAGAAGAAGAAGCTCGCTCCGATTCCGTCGAAATAAAACGGATACGAAGTTTCTCTCTTCCCTTCTTCGATCGCCGGGCTTTTAATCCCGATAATTGAATCGAACGTGAGAATTCCAAAGATTTTGCATTTTCTCTCTCTCTCTCTCTCTCGATAAACGTAACGATGGGAGCGGAGTCGCCGGCTAATTGCGGCGAGAGATCGAACCGTGGCGAAGGGAGGATCGAAAGTGTATCGGCTGACAGGAAACTTTCTAGACATTGGAACCGATGGCCTTCGATCAAAGATGCACCGGGTGTCGAACAAGCATTGTCCTACCTTTTATTGTATACCTCCTCGATGTCCAAAGAAGGTGATAAAATTGTTTGTTATCCGATCCGATATTCGATGAGATATCTTTTCCCTTATTTTCGTTTAAATTTCGTTCGTTAATCCGATCGATTAGCAAGTTTTGTTTCATTCACAGTTTCGGAATATCGGGTGGGTATTCTTTCCCCCAACGATTGCAACGCGCGATAAGGGGAAGAGCGTTTCGAGGACACCGTGTAGGGTGACTGGATGGAAAAGTAGTTGGGCCTCGAGGACGAAGTCGGCTTCCGCCGAGAATCAACCGGTATGCAAATGAAGCTTAAAGTCTCGTCCGCCGATCTCTGAAAGCGTAGAGTG